CCCTAACTATTCTATGTTTCTATAATCTCCATTAGGACCAAAAAAGTGGTGATAGGAGACCAAAGAGAAAGTGTAACTGTCCTTTCCAGAACACAGAGAAGGGAATTTATATGGTGGAAAGCCACAAATGGTTTGTGAGTCCACCTGCTAGTACCATTAGTTCGTGTTAAGTAAACAGGTTAATGCTAGAAGACAGTTTGCACAAGTCCTGTTTCAAAGACTGGCATATTTATGGGGTTTAAATCCATACTAAATGAAAGGGATGCTCCTAAACATATTGATTGCCTTGTTCTTCAGTTCCTAAAAGATGCAGCACTCGCTGATTATTCTTTAAAAAGGCCAGTTTGTTGGTTAAGATTTGTTTTTAGTGTCAAAAATTTGTTTCTCTCATATACATGTGTTATGGAAGATTGTCTTTAAAAAGACAGTGGCATGCTTGTACAATACTTGTTTCTTGTTCTTGGGAACATCTTAGACTGTTGAGATCGTGAAGAAGCTGATTTAGGTTTAGCTGTGTCAGATGTTGCAGATGCTTACTCTGGCAAATACAGATCACTTTGGAGCAGACCGTTACAATGCTTCTCTCTCATTGCTGTGGTGAGGCAATGGCAGGGAGGCAGGTTTACTTAAACTTTATGGGGAAGCTCAGGCTTGTTAATGCATCTTCCAGTTGGCTCTGCTTTCCTCAGGTTTTGTTCTTCTTGAAGGAGCCTGATGACCTTTCTTCCTGCTTGGGTGATCCTGAGAGTCTGGGTTTGTTTTCCGAGCACTACTGCTGGGGCAGGGAGAGGGGGAGTGATGCCAGCCCAACCCTGTAGACATCTGCTTGTTTGGGGCATGGCTGGTAGGGAATGGGAGAAGAAAAAATTGTGTATTCATAGGTGGCAATGACTGAAGGATGGGAGGTAACTGCAGTGTTGGCTGGCTGGTAGGTTTCCTTTCAGATATAGAGGAAACCGGGATCCTGATCTAGGACATGAGCTGACAGGGACTGCAATAATTTGTCAGTCAGAAAAAGAAGTGATTTGTACAGTGAAATAGATGTGGTAGATGCAATAGAACAGTTCAAGGCAACTGAGCTTATGAGTTTTAAATGGATGCTGCTTATCTCCTAACCTCAGTACTTCACTGAGTAGACTCAGGTTTGTCAAACCCTTCCCTCAAAGGCAGGAAAGAGTTAACCAGTCAGGCAACTTATAACTGCTGTAATTTAAACTAGTGAATATACTTATTTTATAGTTAGGGAAATTGAAGCACAGTGGGATCAAGTGACCTACTAACATCTCCTAGTCAAGAAACAGCAGGGCAAGTCCTTGAATTTGAGTGTTCTGAGGTCCCTCTCCTCTAGTTCTTTTATTAGGTCATGTTGCTTCCCAGGATAACAACATGTTTGCGCAGTTTGGAAATGCAAGCTGTTTCTTTGCAGAAATATTACTGCAGAATGTTACAAAACTGGAGAAACACCGAGTCTGAAAACAGCTTTAATTCTTGTTTTTAAAACGTAGCAAATGAGATTTAAAAATATGAAAGGCTGCCAGTCTGCTGCTCTAGTTTAAGTATCTGGGTTGTCATTAGGAAAATATTAGAAATGAGCTGGTGATTTCCAGCACTGTTCCTCTGATAGGACAGCCTTGCTGAAAAGGAGGTCTTGGTCCCCAAGATCCTGAGAGAGGAATTAAAATGACGTTTCTGCATTTCCTGTCATTAATTATCTCAAAAAGACCTTGAAATGTGCTTCTGAAGTCTGTCAGCACATATGGAATGAAATTTTTCTCCAAAGAGATGAGGTGGACTTGTTTGCCTCTGAGTATCTTCTGAGTTGTTGGTTGAAGTTTTACCGGTGAGGCTATTTTTCAAGTTGCCTTTCAAGCTCAGCAGCCGAAGTCTCATTCCTTTCTCATCCCAGAAGCATTGCTGTGTTTTTTGAACCTAGTCCCAAGAACTATCTTTCTATTTGCCTTTCCATTTTTCTGCTCCATTTCCACTCCTTGTCCCCAAGTTAAGGTGTTAAATTGTTCTTCAGTCAGAGCTAAATAATATGCCACTGGAAGCTTTAATAGGCAGGAAGACGTGCTGACAGATCTTCATTTCAGGAGAGGCACTGTTCAGATGTCCTGTTGTTCTGCAATGCTTTGCTATTAAATTTGATGATGGAATATCTAGACAAAGCACCAGCTGACACTGCAGCCATTTTGAGTTGCACATGCTGGAAACCAACCAAATTGGGAAGTGTTTTTTTCACAGTTGTGTTTAAAAAGGTAAAAAAGCCCTCCACAGCCCTTAACATTCTGAGGTCAGAACATTAGTATTGGTGTTATGTGATGGATAGCCCACTTCTGGGGGTGGAATTGCTGTTTTAGCTTTGATTGTAGGATACCAGTGTATCTGCCTGCTATGTACAGCAGGTATTCCTTGTGCTCAGTGGATTTGTAACTTGGAGGGTAGCAAGCAAGTCCCAAGCACTACAAAGCTGGAACCTCCTCCTTGCTGCAGAAACCAGATGACTTCCTGCCTTGACTGGCAGGAGGGCTTGTGTGCAGCAGGAAAGTTTGTACTCAGTACCTTTAAGTAAGGACAAATAGAATGGGATTTTTCATTGATAGTTTCTTTATTCCAACCCAATGCAAGCTCCCTGCGGTGTGGATGCTGCCATGGCACAGTAGTGCAGCTCTTACTCCACTGAATGTATCATCTGGGCTCAACACTGGTGGTAGACCTCCTGTTGCCCAGCTGGCAGCAGGACAACAGCCTTGTGCTTGAAGTACAACGAACATTAGTGGTCAAATACATGCAGCAGAGTGGACAGGCTCCAAACTGATAAGCCTAATAAGAAGGTTAATAGCTTGTTCATCACCTTATGTGGGATGGTACATTTGAGGCCCTACTTTAAATGAGCACAGGGAATATTCATGTGAGAAATTGTTCAGTTGGACTGGGTAGATAATAACAATAATATGTTCAAACTATTTTTCCTTTTGAACAATTTTTATTATTATTTTTCTCCTCTTACTCCCTTGCCTACTCTGCTAATCAAATATACGAATTAGAGTATCTCCTGATTAAGTATAACGTAGGCATTGTGGTTCCCGACCCAGGCTGAAGTTTCTGTGGTATGCCACACAATCTTTTGAGAGCAGCAGTCCTCAAACTGGCAATCGTCAAATGTATGAAACAAGTTTTATTAAAGCATTTAATTTCTTTAAACTATTCCTCTCTTAATCCAGGAAAGACAGGTTAAAAAAGTCTTCTGTAATGTATTTTGGTACTGTGTCAATCAACCTTTTATTGAGTTTTTTTTTTTAAATTATATTTAAAGTTAGTAGCCAAATAATTGCAGATTATCTTAGTATTTTCCTGCTTTTCTGACAGAGCAGTAAAGGTCACTAACACTTAAGGGTCTTAGACCTAAGCACAACACATTTTAGTTGTGGGAGCTGTTTGTTCCATTCCTGGTTTTGTTCAGTGCTGGAGTTGAGTTTGGAGCCTGCACTCCACACTCCTTACAGCTTCACTTTTACTAAAGATTTGCTGAGAAAAGAGGACATGTCTCTCTGCTTAATATAACAGTCATTGTATATAGCGTCCTGGCACGTGTATAATTGTCTGTAGCTTTCTAATGATAAAGGCGGTTTCATGTGAGAAAGATCTGTTATCAGTCTTGGTCCCGACTTGCATTTTGTTTCATTAAAGAAATGGCTTATCACAGATGAAACTCCGGATCAATGGTCCTGGCACTCTCTCTCTCTCTCTCTTTTTTTTTTTTTTTTTTTTTTTTTAAAATCGCTTCCATTTTGGTGCAGTGCAGTGCTTTTGGTTTAACTGGCTGAATTGATATTCTGAGCAGCAAGTAAGGCAGGATGACAGAGCACCAGCACAGCTACTCCCATCAGTGCTCCAGGAGGGACGCTCTGTGCAACTGCCCACCCTGCCCGAGACAGAGCGCAGTCACGAGCCACTGCTGTCCTGGGCTGCCACAGGAAAGGTTCCAACTTTGATGTGCACTGCTTTATACCTACTTCAAGAAAAAACCTGATGTTTTTCTGTGTTTAGTCACTGCTGGGATTGAACGGTTAGAGGTACAGAATCTGAAGTTGCAGTTTGAACACGGTACATGTACTGATCCCGATTAACTGTGAAAAAAAACTCAACTCACACACAGAAAATGTGATGCTTTTTAAAGGACTGATGTCTCTGTCTTATTTTTAATACGTGGATTTATTTTTTTTTCTTTCCCATGGCATTCCATTAAAAAAGTCACATTTCAGAATCCTGCATAGACTAATAAACCAAAATAACAGGTAGATTTCTTTAAAGACGTATTACAGACTAGATGGTGAGAAGCTCTAAATAAAACACACTGATTCCTCAGAGCGTTAGGCTGTCATTATCATGAGGCAGAGTGCTGTATTTTGTATGTTTAAAAAGGAAGGGAAAGGACAGAGAGCTCCTCTGGCAGCACATATGGGATTACAGTGTATGCTGATGGGACCAGAGCAGATTAAACAGGAGGATGTTTTGTGTGCTTCTCCTGCGTGGGTTTTGGATTGTGGAAGGCATGACAGAGACTCAGGTACCACAAGCCCATCACAGCCCTGCAAGCATGTTTTGGTATTTTCATAGAATCAGCATTGTTCTTGTATAAACAGGGAGATCAGGCTGCCTCTTAGCAAAGGAGGCTGTGAAGGGATTGCAGGAGAGCCGTGTGGGGTGGCTGCTGTCCGGGGTCTCAGTAGGGAACAAAGCTGGGGGAGTGCTGGGCTGCGCGTAGTGGGTTTGCTGCTTCCCTCCGTCCCCTTGCCCCTTCCGTACACAGCGTTTCCTCCCCCCTCCCCTGACCCCCCCCCCCCCCTTCCCTTCTCAAATGATGGCGATAAGACTTGACAGCCCTTGTCCTTGAAGGTTTCTCCCGTTTCTGAGTAAGTGGCATATTCCTGGTAGCTTGCCATCTTCCGTTTTTGTCATTATCCCAAGGGAAGTATTAAAATCACAAACAACAACATGGTGGTTCAGTCCATTTTCCTTGCAGAGAAACATTTCCTTTCCCTGCCTGTGTCTGCCGTTCGGTTCCCCGCTGTGGCAGCCGCGCAGTGCGGGCAGTAGGCACCCTCCCGCGCGATGGGATGAGACGCGATGGGATGCGGGGCGCGCCGTGGCCCGGCGGAGCCCTGTGGCTCCCTCCCCACCTGCCCGCCGGGTGGTACAGTCTGCAGAGGGACTCCTGTAATGTACCGCAGCTCGCCCAGCCCGCGCAGATGCCGAACCGCGATTACTCCGCTGTGTAATTGAAATCCGTTCGGATTTGTGATGATATCTTAGCCAAGTAAGTAGCGACATCCACAGCATGAGAATAATAATGATGATGATGATAATAATAATAAAAATAATCTTTCCCCTTTCCGTTCTGAGCTTGTTTATTTGGCGATTTGCTTCTCGTGGAGGCGCAGGCTGATGAGAAAATGGTGTGGAGACTGGGTCTGAGTGGTGCCTTAGGTTTTGGTTCGTGCCCTGTGAATCTCTGGAAAGGTAATGCTGCGACTTCTGTAGATTATTCTTTAAGGTCAAACGAGAACTGCATTGCTAAAAGGCACTCTTGTGTCAGAAGTCATTCACTGAGCTTTTGTAGGTTGAGAATTCTGTATGATCTTCTTGTTGTTTAAGCATATGGGCTTGATTTTGATTAAATCTGTTATTTAGTGAGGAGGAAAGCACGTGGATGCAATTTTGCTTTTATCATTGCTGGTAAGGGTCAGATGTGCCTTTTTCTTTCAGAAGTGAAGTGCAGATAAGACACTAAAATGGGAGCAGTACGGCTTGACTTTTTTTTCCCCTTAACTTTGACTAATGGTCTCTTGTGATAGGAAAAGACATTTCTTGTTAGGAGATATGTAATCCTCAGCTGGGTGTATTTATAGAGCTGCTTATAGTTTTCCAGTATGTATGTTTGAAAGTAGAGGGCACACAGATTAAAAAAAAAACCAATGTTGCCTTTCTGTTGCAGTGGATTAGAAAATGCAGTTGAAGAAACTGGGGATTTTATGTAATTTCTTTTAAGCATGCATGATGTATCCTGCGGTAAGGTGGGGAACGGCTCTTGGTGGTGTATGGTGCAATAATTAAAAATTCTGACAGCTTTACATGTCATTATTATTTATTTATTAATTTTAAAAAGAAGAATCTGCTCCCAATCCCTGGCTACTGCATGAGGAAGCTTTTAGCCGTTGATGAAACATAGAACGCTGTAACAGAAAGCATAAGATGACAGGAGTCATTTCCTCTTATGTAAAGGGAGATGCTGTGCGCCTGATCCCTGCCTGCGGCGCTGGCAGCTCGCTGCCCAGTGCTCCTGGTGCCGGGCGAGCTTTGCCCCATCCCGGATCCACCGGGGTCCTGCCCGCCTGGGGCAGGTGCTCGGCGCGGCGCGTCCTTGCTGAGGGCTGGGGTCAGTCCCGGAGCACTTCCGCAGCGGAAGCAGATGCTTAGCCCCGTGCTACCCACACCTTCTGGAAGGTAAGGATGGAAGTTGCTGAAAGGGAATGTGGATTCGTTCATGGTAAACCTGCGCGTCCTCCCATTCCCATGCAGCCAAAGAGCTGCACGCTTTTTAGGACTTCTGAGCATCTGACCTCCTGATTCCATTCTGTTAGGGACTCTGTTAAAGGATTGCAGAGCTGTTACACAAATTAGGATGTTTGAAAGATGGCTGGCATGCTTCAGATGGAAAAAATGCACTTTTATTGCTGGCATTTGTGGTTAATATGAGATATATACAGTATGAAATTGATAATGGGGGCTTTTGTTAGTCTTTCCTTAGTAAAAGGAGATTACAGATCTACTTCATAGTCCATGTTGGGTACATTATATGTTGAGATGCATTCTTGATTAGCATTTAATTTGTGAGAGGTCGTCCATATGCATGACTAGCTCTTGTACCTTGCTCCGAAACCACTGTGTGGCTCAGGTATCCAGCAGGTCTTTGATCACTTACAGCTTTCACTTTGTTTACCTTTCTCTCATTTTGATCAAAATTGCTACCTGTGAAGGAGTGTTTTATATTTTCCCTGTAGTGCTGGTAAAATGAACAAGTTTCTGAATAAGGCAGTAAAATAAGACTTGGAGATAACTTGTGCGTAATAATGCTGCAGGAATATTTTTATCCTTTCTGTGTGTGTGTATGCCCCCCTTTTTATCCTTTTCCTTTATCTTCATTTCTGTGGAGGTTGGCCCACATCAGTGATAAATGTATTTTCAGAGAAAAGATGGTGTTTTTTTTTTCTGTTGCAAATGCTCTTTCTCATTCTTTCTGCATATATAAAAAGGTTTCATGCATGTATGTTCAAAGAGCTTGCTAAAGTTGCATGCTTCTCAGTGGGATTGCAGGTTACAGAAGACATGGTGCTGATGACCCAGGTATCACGCTGTGCTTTTAAGAGCTTCCATAAAGTGACTTTTCTGAGTGCCGTTTTCTTTTAAATTTCATATTGTGTATCAAGGAAACTGTTTTCAAGGATGATTTTTCCCCCCCCTTTCGCCTTTCCCATCATTTAAAATACAGTGCTGTTGGATTTGGGATGCAATCATTTTTTCTTAATCCTACTAAAAGAAAAAAGGTTCTAGCCTGAATACTGACAATAGGCTCATACATTCTGCTGGTGTAAGAACGTGACAAGTGTTTTCACTTTTTCATGCTCATCCTGCAGTTCACATTGTCAGATGTCAGTGGCGTATGTAGTAATCCCTTGTTACGTTTTAAAATACATATAGATGTCGTGACCTTGTGACTATATCTCATTCTTCCTGAAACCTTAATCTACTGCAGTAGGGCTCCAGCAGCCCATAGTTCTGTAAATTGCCCCCTCTCCCCACTTCCCTTTTAAGAGATGTAAATACTTTTACAGGTTGGACTTAAAATAATGTTCTGAAGGGAAGAAAGTGGTTTTGTGTTTGATTCACCTGACTGTGGAACCCTGCAGAGAACAAGCTTGCCTTTTGCCAGGTTCTTCATCATATTTTCAAGGAGAGACAAAGAAGGGTATTACAACTGACTGGAATTTAGCAAGTATTTATTGTGCCTTTCTGGCTGATGGCTGAAAGCAAACAAAAATTAATTACATCCCTATTATACCTTACCAGATCAGCTGCAACCCCCCCTCCCCCCCCCCCCCCCCCAAGATTTAAAATGACACATTTCTGAATAATTTTAATACGTCAGTTGTAAAAGAGGTTTAAAGAAAAAAAAAGCAAAGGATGATTATGATTGAACCATCTGCTCCTAGAGAGGTGTTTTGGTTTAATTCGTCTCCAAAAACGTGTTGGTGAAGGCAGGCTCTCTTGTGCTTTCATGAAGATTCCTTTCCTGTGAGGCAGGAAGGGAGCAGTGAATGCCCTGTGGATGGAGGCTCCCTCTCTGCATGGCTCAGCTGCAAATCCAGCACCAGGAATCTGTGACCGGGATAGTTCTGTGCCTCTGCAGCACCTGCAGTCCAGGCGCTGGGTTTGCGATGAGGAAACCTGGGCTCGGAGTTAGCTTGCCAGAGCTTTATGATGCACAGTAGGGAGGCTCAGCACCCTGAGACTATGAATTTATCCTTGGGTAACACCTGTGTGTCCATCACGCTCAGAGATAATATAGCCTTACTGGAACGGTTGCATAATATAACAACATTTTTGCCTAGATAGGTTATGGTTTGTAAGTACACATGAATAAAGGATATGTAAGATTATACAGGCTGTATAGATATATAGGCTTTAACTTCATACATAAAGCAATGAAGATGATCAATAACATTTCATTTTAATCTTTAAAGTTTGTCCTGTTGTACAAAGCACAAGCATATCATACAATATGAAGAACTGTGGATTTTTTTGTTTAAAGTTTTGCTGGGTTTGTGCATGTCTAAGGGAAAAAGCATATTTTTAATGTTGTTCTTGATATATTATCTTGTTTTACATATTACACCTGGAGATTTGCAGTTGAAGAAAAAAGAGTCAATTTATAACAGAAGGGTTGGGAATGAAGCATATTTTAAAATAGCCCAGTAACAGGAAGATATTTCTAAGAGGCTGGCATTGCTGTAAAACGCAGGACATGTTCCTTCGTAACACTGCAGATCAGTGAAATATGAAGACTCAGAAGTGTGGGATGCCTGCTTGAATATCAGACTTTGCAGAGTTGAGAAATGGTAACCAAGTTACAAATTACTTCCCTTCTACTGCATCCTGCACGAACAAGTTCATCCTGCTCATAATGTGTTTTGCCTTGGTTCTGAAGTAGCCATTGTACAGTTAGAGCATACAAGGATTATGCATCATTCTATCAGACATCTTAGAAGCAATTCATGTGGAAACCTAGAAGAGGACCAGCAGTAATAACTGTGATTTATTGGAAAGAGTTTGTGCATTTTTAACCTATTGTCGCATTTCCACATGTGGTAAAGGTGAAATAAGGGTAGAAGCTAGCTGATTTCAGTCATGGCATCACAGAAGAGTTGAGATTGGGAGGTACCTCGAGATCATCCAGTCCAAGCCCTCCTTCCCAGAGAGCAGGTTTCTCAGAGCTGTGTCCAGTTGGGTTTTGTGTATCCAGAAGGGTGGAGACTCCGCAACCTCTCTGGGCATCCTGTGCCCGTGTTTGACCACCCTCACAGTTTTCTCATCTTTAAATGCAATTTCCCATGTTTCAATTTGCTCTCACTGCCTTTTTGCCTTTCACCAGGCACCACTGAGAAGGGCCTGGCTCCATCTTCTTTAGTCCTTCACATCAGGTGTTTATGTGTGTTGATACCCCCTGAGACTTCTCCAGACTGAACAGTCCCAGCCTTCACCATCTCCCTTTTGTATGTCAGGTACTTCAGTCCTTTTATCATCTTTGGCCCCTTCATTGGTCTGGTTCTAGGAAGTCCATGTCTCTTTTGTACTGGGAGCCCAGCACCAGACACTGCACTCCAGAGGTCTCGGCAGTGTTGAGTGGAGAGAGAGGAAGGCTCACCTCCCTCGGCATGCTGGCAGTGCTCCGTCTAATGCAGCCTTTGCAGTGAGGATGTGCTGCTGGCTCACCTTGGGTCCACCAGGAACCCCAGGGCCTTTTCTGCAGAGCTGATCTCCAGCCGCCTGGCCCCAGCCTATCCTGCCTGGGGTTATTCCTCCCCAGGGGCGCTTCCCTTTGCTGGACATCCTGAGGTTTCTGTTGGCCTGGATATCTTAACAGAGAAGAGTGTGCAAGTTGCAATATTGAAGTCTAATATATTGTATCAGCATCCTAGGTGCAGTTTGGTATGGATATAAACTTAATGAGGATGAAAAAGGAAAATCAGTGATTTAGGT